GAAGACAGCCTAGAGCGAAGTCCCTTTCACAGAGGAATCTCAGAAGATTGTAATGCCAGTGAGCAAACAGTGATGCTCCAGTGGCCACGATCCCCATCATAAGCCAAGAACCACGGCTGCCATTCTCCTGATGTTCTTCTCCACCCTCTCCACTAAGACGGGCTGCCTGGTGCCATGAATGGAGCAGAAAGGCTAGCACCGCACTCTGACGGGATGTAGCACATTCTGATTTACATGGAATCACTTTTGAGAAACTATCAAAGCTTTCAAAAAGTCGCCAATCACAAAGACAAATGAAAGAAATGAAAAGGAGTCACATCAGTCTCGTCCGAGAGTAGCTTTTTGCAATGTGTGTGCTTGAGACTGCATTCTCTCTGAATGATCTCAGTAGTTGAAATCTTATCGTAGTAGGTAGCATAGACTCTATTTATCCTAAACTCAGACATACTGAAAGAAAGATGAATTTCATAAAGCCAATGGACAGGAAATGCAGTAGTGGCTGTAGGACAATGTCCGCGGAACTGCAGCGAAGTGATGAACTCTCTTGAGATGTAGCAACCAAATGGTTAGCTCCAAACATGACTCAACATCACGGTGCAAGTGTCCTCGTGTCTTGACCTTCTTTAGAAAGAGATACACTTTGTTGTACTTGATGAAATCAAATCTTAACAAGAAGACGTAAGCTAAGGCTGCTCACCTTCTCATTCCAAAATCAAGCACCAGATATGTTTATCCTCTCTAAGACCTTTAGATAATATTGTGAATCAACAAAATACTCATAACATCCAAGAGAGGAGTTAGCAAACCTTAAAGACAATCTGGTACATATCTGAATCCTTGATTGCACATGCTTTTTAATTAAAAATAGTGTGAAACACTTGTTACTCTTGTCTTTCAGCATAATTTAGCAAGTAATTATTTTGTCTTCAGAAAAAAATGGTAGCTGTGTCTTAAACTGTGATGATAAAACAGAATACAGTCAACATGTTTTCATAACTGGGAGAGAACAAATGGGCCTCACTGTGGCATTCTGCTTAATAATGCTTTTGTCTGATTGCATAAAAATGCCAGCCGAATGAGGTATGCACCCCGCAGCCAGCCTTGGGGGCAGCCGGGCACTTGGTGTGCAGGCTCCTGAGACTGAATGTGTGTTTTGGACCATGTGAGGACCCTTATACCATAGGATGAATATTTTCCTGACCCATTAGGTGCCGCTATATTGACCTCAAAATTCTAAACTCGGGACTTGGCAATAAGGAAATAATTGGGAGGGGGGGCGCTGGAGAGATGACTCAGTGGTTAACAACACTGGCTGTTCTTGCAGAAGACCGGGATTCAAATCCCAGCACCCAGATGGTAGCTAGCAACTCTCTGTAATTCTAGTTCCAGGGGATCCAGCAGCTTCTTCTGTCCTCCTCCGGCATTGCATGACACGGGTGCACTTACCTACATGCAGGCAATACACGCACACACACAAAATAAAAAAATAATAAATATAATAATTGGGAAGCCAGGATGGCGGCAGCAGGGCCCAGGCGCAGGGGAAGGAGGCACAGCAGCGCTTTCAGCACAGGGATTCAAACATGACTGGTAAGACAACGCCGCATCCATCACTTGTTCCCCACCACGGAGGAAGATGCAAAAACAGCAGACACCAAAAAGCCAATTGGAGCCTCGGCCATGAAAAGGGAAACACTCGGGCTGGCTGCCTGTTGCTCACAGCCCTCTGGCACCAGGATGCTGGGCCTCCTGGCCACAAGTTCGGTGAGGGGGCCGGTGGTGGGTGCAGCCAGGAGCTGGTTGTGACCCTCACTGTGCCCTACCCTGGTGCACCTCTCTTGCACAAGGCTGGACCTGCGAGTGGCCAGTGCACAGCGCACCCAGGTCGCCTAGCCAACATCATCGTCCAGGCGGGGCTGCGGGCCTCAGCAGGATCAGGAACCAGAGCCGTCCGTCGACAGGTCTTGGCCAGTGCACAGCGCACCCAGGTCGCCTAGCCAACATCATCGTCCAGGCGAGGCTGCGGGCCTCAGCAGGATCAGGAACCAGAGCCGTCCGTCGACAGGTCCAGAACATAGGCTAGAGCTCACTGCTGCGACGCTGCTGTGTGCTGCTGCAGCGTCCTAACTGCCTCTCGGGGAACCTTGGGTTGGAGACCTGTGAGCTAACTGCTGCCTGCCGAGGACCTAGATTTTGTTTTCACCTACAGTAAAGCTCCATGGGGAATCAACCTATTGGAGAATGCCTTGGACCACAATGGGGTGTTTGTGCTGAGCCGGGCCCTGCAACAACCGAAGTGTAACCTGCGTGTCCTTGGGGTGCCAATAGCTGACTGATGAAGAAACGCAAGCATTTCTGATCGCTGAGAGACAGAGAAGAGAAATCCTATTGGACAACCCTAAGCAGCTAGTAAGAGAAACAGAAAACAAGTATGAGAGCTCCATTCCAAGAAGCCTGGGCATAAACTGACTGGAAAATGACTACAAAGAAAAGGGAGTCGGGGAGCAAGTCCTTATTCTGGCCAATCTGTGTGTAGAACAAGATATGATTTCTCTGGCACCCAGTTCAGATGTGTTGTGTCCGATGGATGGGGTTTTTCATTTACTAATAGAGAACATGAAGTCAGGGGTAAGGGGTTAGGTGAGGGTGGAGATCTGGGAGGGGGTCTGAATACAATCAAAATACATTATATGAACTTCTTGGAGCAATAAAAAAATTTAAATATCAAAAAATGGAAATAGTAAGTAAAATCCTGAAAAAAGGTTAACGATAATGTCACCAGGGGTAGAAAGCCACCATTATCACCTTTGCCCTGTGTCAATGTATATATTCACACACAATATATAAATGATACAGAATTATGTTTACTATACACATACACATGTGTATACATAAATACATACACATATATACTTTGTTATGGAATCAAATTACAGGATGCTTTGACATAGCCTTCTCAGAAATACAGTGCAGGCATTTTTCAGATCAATAGGTAAAGATCTATGCTAACATTTTTGATATTAGCATAAAATTGCATTGTATGTGTTTTCCTTGAATTTAGTACATATTAATGGTTTTTAAGTCGTTTTAAATGTTGTTTTGTAGAAACTTCCTTTAAACTAAGACATTCTCTCCCAGAGGGAAGCTTATTAAGACTCAGAAAGTCCCAAGTTCTGAGTCTTTAAGACCCAGAGGATAAACAACTTACAAATCTCATAAAGTCCCTGAAACTTACCAAACTCACAAGGCCCTTCCCTCCCCCAAAGGTTATATAAGCAGTGAGGACAGCTGAGGACCGGTGAGGAGTGCTGAGGGTCAGTGAGGATGGACGGCGACCTGTCTTTGCGGTGTCTATGCTCCTGTAAATAACCCTGCACCTATACCTCTGTAAGGAACCCAGTGGACTCACTGGGTCACCAACTTGGACTTTGGTCTGTTGTCAATCCCCTATCTCAAGCGAGTAGATGTCTGTTTACGTCCCTCAGGAATAGTGCCATGCTAGAAATATTTCTTTCTGATACCATTATAAATGAGACTGGTCTATCTTTGATTTAAAACTCTCAGGCAAATATGAAATACCTTGTCTTTCTGTACTGTGGGTCAGAAACAGGAGCTAAGTATTCCCAATGGCAATGCTACTTTAAACTTTTGGAACAATGATCCACTTGGTACATTCTTCTTTGGCTTAGAATATTTTACATGTGCCCTTGTGTATCTCTCTTTGGAGCAATTAAGTGGTAAATACTGGCATCAGAATTTAGTGTATTAACCTCCAAATCAAAGTCTACAGAGCTATATGTGCCATGCCGTAGTGGAAGCATAACCCAAATGTGAGGGGCGTTCTAAGTTCCTCGGACGTACCCTGCACTCTTTTCAATGGGATAGTTCTTTCCCTTGGCTCTGGGTCTCGGAGGACACTAAGTAATTCGAAGCAGGGTGATTTTTCATTCTCGCCCTTTCTATTTAACTGTAGTGACCTTTGCTGTCTCTATCTAATACCTGCTTTAAGTGGAGCTCAATTACAACCATTCCTTTATTCCAAAAGCCCTTAGCAATGAGATATAAAATTATTGCGAACTCATTTGGTTCTTGACTTTTAGTGGTTATTTTGTTCCTGTGTACCCTGCAAACTTTGATAATCAGAAACTTTATGCTCATTTCCTCAGTAACCTTTAAGATATCCAGTACTTCAAATAAAACACATATTAAGTAGAGACTATTAAATTATACTATATTGATAAAGTACTGACAAGTATTTTAGCTTTTACATACTACTGGTATGTTTTCATGTTGTACAAAACTTTGTTATAGCATTTTTAGTACATTTCAGAGAATAGATTTTAAAAAAATAAAAGTGATAATCCATTACTTGTAATTTTAAAAATTTATTTATTTTTATTTTATGTGTATGAGTATCTTGCCTGCATGTATGTGCCATGTATGGCTTGAGTATATGTACCATGTATGTGTAATATCTGTGGAGGCCAGAAGAGGGCATCATACCCCTGGAACTGGAGTTACAGACAGTTGTTAGTGCCCATGTGGGTGCTGTAAACGAACCTGGGTCCTCTGCGAGAGCTTTTTTGCTCTTAACCACTGAGTCATCTCTCCAACCCCTTGCCTGCATGTATGTGCCATGTATGGCTTGAGTATATGTACCATGTATGTGTAATATCTGTGGAGGCCAGAAGAGGGCATCATACCCCTGGAACTGGAGTTACAGACAGTTGTTAGTGCCCATGTGGGTGCTGTAAACAAACCTGGGTCCTCTGCGAGAGCGTTTTTGCTCTTAACCACTGAGTCATCTCTCCAACCCCCAAACCTATTATTTTTAAATGTTGAAAACCATCAGATTAGAATGAAATAAATTTATGGAGTTGTATCTAATATAAATATTGCTATAGCATTTTTTAAAGATGCTTGAAAGTTAAGTCAATCTCATTTGCTAATTAATGTACTTTTGAAGCACTCAGCACAAAATGCATACCTTTATACAATTTGTCCAGCTTTCGAATATGATTTTCCAAACTTGGAGAAGAGTTCAAATGATGGTAACACAGTCTGAAAATCCTAGGGGAAAAAGATCAGATTATCACAGAGCTCACAATTCTGTATTGTTGTAATTATTATTCAGATTAAGTCAAATTGCAAGATGGCTATCCTTGATTTTATTAGTTTAAAGCTTTCTTTAAATACATATTTGGTGTGTTGTTGTTGTTTGTGTTTTGGAGACAAGGTCGCATCAGGTAGTCCTGGCAGGCCTCTCTCTATGCACCAGGCTGGACTCAAACGTGTGTCAGTTTTCCTGTGTGTGCCTCCTGTGTGTTGGGATTACAGGTGTGCACCACCATGCCTAGCAAATACACAGTTCTTAATATCTATGAATGGCACACACAACAACTTCAAGCAGTGAAGACTTGAGATTCAGTAACCTGCCTTCAAACAGTTTGCAAAGTAATCATTTTACCTTGGCTTTATGGGGGACTACACTTTGTTTTTGGCAAAATAAACATCTGTTAAACTGAGTTGAAGAAAAGAGGAATGTGATGTGTCCAAATAACTATAATAGCGGGGAGACGAGGTCAAGTACAACAGAATTGATTCCAACAAATGCTAGATTTGTTTTTTCAGAATGATCACGGTGAGGTTCTTTTTTTGTTGTGTAACCAGAGAAGCAGCACTGAGGATAAAACATGCTTCAGGGCCGGCCGCATGTCAAACAGGTAGAGCTGCTGAACAGGTGGTTACTAAGCCCACAGCGGATATGCTAATTCAGTGCTGAGACTTTAGAGAGGTGGAGCTTTCTTAGAAAGAAAGGGTCTGTTAGTTAACTTTGGCTGGAACTTTTTTTTTTTTTTGCAGAGGAAAGCCTAGGAGAGGACCTGTGTCCTTGGCTCATCTCTTCAGAGGGCCCACAATTCACAAGTATGAAAAAAGTAAGTTTACAAAAGAACATGTGGTATGAGAGGAAAGCCTAGGAGAGGACCTGTGTCCTTGGCTCATCTCTTCAGAGGGTCCACAATTCACAAGTATGAAAAAAGTAAGTTTACAAAAGAACATGTGGTACGTGGGTACCTCTGTCACCACACATCTCTTTCTACTTCGGTATAGTAGATCCCTAACTGGAAATATCTGCTTTGATGACTAGCACTTCTCAGGTCCCAGGGAAGCATCCGAGTCCCTTGCGCATGTTTGTCTTGTCCGAGCGACATGAGGATGCTACAGATAGTGCGTTGGCATGTGGAGAGAACATGTGTGACAAACTACTTAGATAAAAGATTGATCCCTTAATATGAGCGAAGCTTTCTTCTTGGACAGCATGAACGTGGTGGAGTTGTACATAATGAAACTTCATTTTCTCATGATGCTCAGGAGCCAAACTTTTGCTTTCTTTCTGTTCCAAACTACAATTGTGGAGGTAATTTGCATCTATCTCATTGTTTGAAATACTCGCATGTCACATTTCAGTCATGCTTTCCAACAGCAAGTAATTCACAGCACTTTTCAACTTGAGTCTACAAAGCTTTGGTGTCTGTGTGAAACATGGCAGTAACTTTTTATATGGGCAACGTGATGAACACCAGAACCCAGAACTATAAGTACCTTCATTTGTATGAATGTATCACAACCTCTTACTTGATTTTCCAAAACAAATAGTCTTGTTCCATCAGAAATGCTAAAAGAGGTGTTCAGAGGAAAGGGGGGTGATCAAGGTCAGAAACTTAGCTCTACATAGGGAAATGAGGTGTGCTAGAGGGTGAGGCTAAAGCGAAACCTTTAACTTTCCTTAGTCTTAGTTGACCTATCACATGACAGTCTTTGTTGTGAAGTGATCCCAGGAGCACTGTGATCTGTGTCTACGGCTGTGGATGGGGAAGTGAAGAAGGTCACTGTGATATGTAGAGCTCTGGAGAGAGAAGCTGGGAAATCTGTCAGAAGGCAGCCGCACTAACGGTAGCACAGTAGTGGTATCTGAAACTCATTTTCCTAAATACATGCTCCAGGCTCAAGAGTAACTACTAGAAAGAATTTCAGGAAGTGCAGCTGAGGGTCCGAGAATAGAAAGAAAATGGAGTCTCATAAAACGCCTAATCAAAAGCGGAGGCTGCAGAAAGACAGGAAAATCAAACCAGACCCAAGAACAAGCGCAGCAAAGGAGAACTTACAACAGTGGAAGACAGTGATCCAAAGACACGTAATTACTTTAAGTGGGGGTGTTTAAATTCCCCAATGAAAGACGAGGATACAAATGAAAGCAGACTAATATGTCTGCAAAACCTGCTTTAAATATGAAAACAACACTGAAAGCAAAGGGATCGAGAAACACACACCTTGCTCACACTAGCCAAAAGAGACCTGCAATAGCTGTATCAACTTTGAACAGACTGTGGAATATGGAAAATGATCAGGGTGAAGGAGGGTCACTACAAAGTGACAGAGGACAAGTCTCCGAGAAGACCTTTCAGTCATTCATGTGCATGTGCCTAGCAACAGAGGGTCAAAATATGAGAGGCAAAAGCTGATAAGCTGATAGGACTTGCAAGGAGAGGTGGGTGGATTCACTACTGTCATTGGTGAATTCAGCTCCCCATTATTAGTGACTGAGTGGAAGGTCCAGCAGGTACAAAATCAACAAGAGTAATTGAACTGAGCAGCACTGTCAATCAATGGAATGTAACGGACATCTATAGACTTTTTTATCCACCAGCAGCAGGATGTGCATTCTTCTCAAATTCATATAGAAACGTCGCCCAGATAGACCACATATTGGACCATAAGACACATTTAACAAGTTTAAAACAGAACATACAAGTTTCCTTGCAGACCACAGCAGAATTAAACTAGAAATCAATAGCAGATGGATGGAAATCCCCAAACATTTGAAAACTAAATAGCAAGCTTCTTTTAAAAACAGATTTATTTATTGTTTTATTTATGTGTATATATGTGTGTGTGCATGTTTGTGCACATGTGCACCTGTGTGAGTTTATGTTCACCACGGGCATGTAGGTGTGCACTGAGGCCAGAAGAAGGCATCACATCCTCTGGAACTAGAGTTACAGGCAGCCATAAGCTGCCTGATGTGGGACTTCTACAAGAGTAGTAAGCACTCTTGTCCCAGTTTGTTTCTCCATTGCTATGACACAACACTCTGACCAATACCAACTTGGGGAGGAAAGGGCTTATTTGTCTTACATCATCAGGGAGCCCAAGGTAGGAACTCAGGGCAGGAACCTGGAAGCAGGAGCTGAAGCACAGGCCATGGAGGAACGCTGCTTACTGGCTTGCTCCCCTGGCCCTGCTCAGCCTGCTTTCTTATGCAACACAGGCCCACCTGCCCAGGGGTGGCACGACTCACAGTAGGCTGGGCCCTCCCACATCACTCAACAATCAAGAAAGTGCCCCACGGACATGGCCACAGCCCAATCCTATGGAGGCAATTCTCCAATTGAGGCTCTCTCAACCCAGGTGTGTCAAGCTGACATTAAAGCTTTCCAGCACAATGCTTAACCACTGGACCATCTCTCCAGCCTCATAGCATACTTCTGAAAAGGATATGAGCCAAATAAGTCTCAGGAGAATAACAATTCAAATCAATAAAAAAAATGAAAAACTTGTTCAAAGGATGGGCTACAGCAAAAGCAGTGCCTGTGGGTTAAGAATAGCTCTGATCAGAGACCTGAAGAGAGGGGACCTAACATCAGTGACTCAAACTTCTGCCTTGGAAAACCAGAAAAATAAGAGCACACCAAATCAAAACTTAGCAGAAGAAAAGATAAAATCAGAGCAGAAACCATGAAATTAAAAATAGGGACTCAGGGCTGAGAAGAGGGCTCAGTGGATGAGGACCGGCATTCAGATCCCCGATTCCCATGTAAATGCCAGGAGGGTGAGGTGGTCTCCTGCAATCCCACTCTAGGGGATCCCCAGGGTGGGCTGGTTAGCCAGACTAGCTGTACTAGCTGTAATTGGTGGGCTACAGGTTTGGTGAAAACAGGAGGAAGGGATGGTCAGGCAGTGCAGGGTGGGACCTCAAAAACCAGCAGCTCTGACTCCCTGTCCTTGATGACCAGCCCTGCCCTGGCCAGAATCCAAAATGGGCTGGGTTCTGTCAGCAGTTCTGTCCTGACTGGGAGCAGAAATACCAAAAATGTTTAGGGGCACTGTTTGTGCTCGGGTCTCCTGTTAGCATCTTTTATACAGCAGTTTCCGTGAGTGCAATTGCTGGGAAATTATGGGTCATCAGATATGTCACTGGCCCCGAAAGCTGTGCCCCAGACTCCAGCCCAGATACTGGGATAGAGAGAGGCATATGGACATATGCTGGGTTTGACAGCTCGACTGAGTTGCTAACCTCCTATACCTCAGCGCGCTTCCTTTCTCTTAAGCTCTCAGCTATAATAAAACTCCTTTCTGAAAGCCGCCCTTCCATTGTCCAAGGAATTCATTCTTTGAGTTTGAGAGACAAAGGGCCTGGAAGCCCCTGGCCCAGGGTGGCTTTGGAGGCCGTTGATTGCTCTGTACCATAGCTTCCCACACTGTGCTCACTGGAGGTGAGGGAGCGCCACTGCACCAAGTAGCCCTTGCTCTCTGCGTATCACCTGCTTCAGTAGATAAAGGAGAAAGTAGCTGAGGGAGACACCCTTTGCCAACTTTAGAACTCCATATGCACGTGCACGTACATGCATGTGCACCTGGATACACCCAAGCAAATACACATGCATGCATGCACATGCACACATGCACACATGCACACATGCGCACACATGCACACCATACAAAAATGAAACAGAGAAGCAGAAAAAAATCAATTAAGGTAAAAGCTGCTTTCTTGAAAATATCAATAAAATTGGGAAACTGCTAAGCAGCCTAACCAAGATAAAAAGAAAAAGGTGAGAGAGAAAGAGAGCGAGAATGCATTAAAGCTAATGTCGGCATGAAAGACTGATCATTACGCTGATCTCACAAACCTTAAAGGATAACAGAAGTATACGATGTAAGCGAGTGGGTAGCTTAGATAAAGCTGTCCCATTCCCTAGATGACTCAGTCTACCAAAACTCACACTAGA